CCTTGTCTTATGTGACTTTGGATGTAGTATTCTTACAGGAAGTACTCCCTGGCCATCTGTGACCCGTATCTTATGTGACTTTGGATGTAGTATTCTTACAGGAAGTACACCCTGGTCATCTGTGAACCTTGTCTTATGTGACTTTGGATGTAGTATTCTTACAGGAAGTACACCCTGGCCATCTGTGAGCCTTGTCTTATGTGACTTTGGATGTAGTATTCTTACAGGAAGTACACCCTGGCCCTCTGTGATCCTTGTCTTATGTGACTTTGGATGTAGTATTCTTACAGAATGTATGCCCTCAATGTCCCTGTCTCCTCACTGCTTTGTAATGTCTGCAGTTCACAGTTTATTTCACACCATTTGTGGTACTGCAGCAGTTAAGCTGTCATACACTTATGACTCTGATCGGCCTTTGAACTTGACTAGCTAGGAAAGACTTATGACTCTCTTTATGATCACAGTTCACTATTCTTGCTTCATTTAGTTTTAGTTTTACTGGCTTATAACTTTTAAACAACCTTTGAGAAAATAGCTCTGGAATGAGCTAAAAATAATTGTTAGTGATCTTAGTGTAGCTGTTGTATTCCTTAACGCTTGAGAGTTGACGAGCGCTGTCCCTGTTGCTATTCTCGCTCCTCCAGATGTTTTCATCCTTAAGTCTTATGCTTCTAAAAGCTATTCTGTCTATCTGTCTATTAGAGTACTAGTAGTTTCACCCTGGCACTTTACTCATCATCCTACCGTGGCCTCAGGCTTCCAGTTATCGAGTGAAGCTATTTTGGGCAGAACTTTTTCTATCTGAGGGTTAAGAAAAAACAATGTTAACTTTCAGTGTTGACTGGTCTCGCCTCTAAGCTCCTGAATTGATTGTCATTCATTAGTCATTAAGGCCTTGAGTAGTGATTTATACAATTTAATGGGTTGCTTGTGTTGCTCATGGCATATTGCGTGACATGAGTATAATTGTAAAATGCAAAATTAGGTTCATGAATAATTAATTGCTGCTGAGAATTTAAATGTGTAATTGAAAGATGTGTTTTAGAGCTGTCATTTTCACCCTGTGATCTGTGGAGTATTCACAGGGGGCCCACAGAGATGTTTGGTAAGTTGGCAAAATGGTGATTTAGTCAATTTGAAAAATAGTAAAGGGGGACCTCCAGAATGTTCAAGGGGGATTCCATCCTGGTCACAAGCAAACATATGCAAGTACTAAGAAGATGTTTTAAGGCCTCCCAGGTCCTGGGCTTTAGCGGTAGAAGGGGTCTCTAGCTCTGGACAGTTTTTGTTTGTGAGTCTCTGGTTCGAAAAATCTATTGGTGATGACTTTTTGTGTGTGTGTGTGTGTGTGTGTGGTCCCCACAATGTGATAAAAAAACCCAATTATTTTTACATTGTGGGGACCATTTTTTCAGTCCCCACAAGGGGAAATTCAGTTTTGTAAAAATCTGTGACTGTAATCAAAAAACTAAAAATAATTAAATAAAAAAAAAAAAATTCAACTCAGTATAAGGATGAACGTTTGCACAAAATGTCCAAACGAGAGTAGGGTCTCTCTTATGTGTGTGTGTGTGTGTGTGTGTGTGTGTGTGGTCCAGGTATGCATTACATTGTGGGGACATTTGGTCCCCACAATGTGATAAAAACCTGTTATTTTGATGGAACATTTTTTCTGTCTCCACAAAGGTGACTGCAATGAAAAAGCTAAAAATGCCAAAAGTCTTGTATTTTGTTTGGTTACTTATGCTTAGGGTTAGGGCTGTGTAGGGGTTTAGGTTGTCATTGTTGGGATTAGGGTTTTTTTTTCATAGAAATGAATAGATGGTCCCCACAAAGATATGAGTACAGGTCTGTGTGTGTGTCCGTTTGTTGCAGTGGTTTATTCTACCCTGTGGGCCAAAACTTGTTTGGAACTGTGGAATGCTGGTATTTCCTGGGAGTACAACCCCGTTTCCAAAAAAGTTGGGATGCTGTGTAAAATGTAAATAAAAACAGAATGCAATGATTTCCAAATCATATAAACCCATATTAAATTAAAAATAGAACAAAGGCAACATATTAATTGTTGAAACTGAGAACATTTATTCTTTTATGACAAATTTGAATTTGATGCCAAAAACAAGTTTCAAAAAAGTTGAGACGGGCATTTTTCCAGTCGGCCCGTTTGAGCAGTAAGACTTCTTTTTATACCACTGTGTGCATGAGCTTTCAGAGTCAGTTTTTTCTTGTATAGACCTTTCAGTCTAAGGTAGTTTTGGCCTAAAGAATAGAACGTGGTGCAGACAGATGTTTGTGTAGCGCTGCGATTACCAATGTGGGTCATGTCTGTCGTGTTGCGAGTTAATTTTTAATGTTTGTGAGTTAAGTTGAAATTAAAGTAAATATCTGCAGCTTGGTTTGCACATACTTCTTTGTTTGTAAAGTTTCATTTTCACTTTGTATTGCAGTTATTTCAGAATTAAGGGTAAAAACTCAGAAAACATAAAAAGCACAACATGTAAATCAGGAGTAAACATACACGGTCAAATCGGTTTACAATTCAGCAGTAAGACTTTGGTGTATTTTAAAAAAGGAATCATTTCACTTGTCTCTGCATGCAGATGGTTTGTTTATTGCTCATAGAGAAACTTGGAATAAAAAGTGTGTGTGTGTGGTTACGTGTGTGCAGCTTAACACGTCTGAGCGTAGTGTGACCATTATTGAATGTCTTGGGGAGTTCTGTTCTTGTGCTGTTGAGAGCTTTGCACCCATAACGGCCTGGTGTCCTGCTATGGAGGTCTTCATAAGCTCCCTCAACGGAGCTTTGTGCCATTTAATGGTATATGCCATTAGCTGAAAGTTGCAATGAATTCTGGGAGTTCTGTGTTGTGGAATTCTGGGAGGAGTTTCACAGAGAACTTCACTGTGAACCAAGCATCCATGCTAATGTGATACCCTGGCCTTCACACCTCAGATGTAATTTCCCCGGCTGTCTTAATGGCGAGAACGGAAATTGCTGCTCGTGTACCATGGCTTGTTATTTTTCAAGTGGTTACGAATCCGCCTCCGGCTTTTACCGGAGGACAAAAGGCCGACATGTGCCATTTTAGAAATGAGCATCCTCTGGGATGGGGCTTGAGTCAAATGAGCAGCGAGGCCTGCCTGCGTGGGGCTGGCGAGGCCTGCCTCCGTGGGGCTGGCGTGGCCTGCCTCCGTGGGGCTGGCGTGGCTGCTGCTTTTTGCCCGCTGTTCTCTTCCGTTTGGCAGACTGTGGCTGTTTCCCCCCACAGGCCGCTGTACGTCACTGTGGTGTACCAGGGGAAGCGCTCCCATTGCATGAGGATTGGCGTTGCCGTGCCCCTGAAGAGCACCGTGTCCAGGCTGAGGGATGCTGTGTCCATGGAGACGAAGATCCCCTCTGACCAGGTGCTGCCGTCATCACCATTACTCTCAGTCCACTGTGTGGTACCAGAGTCTCATCTTACTGGGATAGGCAGGCAGGAGGAATTACCACTGCAAGACAAATGAGTCATCATCAGGTGATTAATCACTGAGCATGATGCTGTTAACATCCAGATTACCTTTGGCAAGATTCACTGGCATAAAAGTTCACGAAGCGATCAGCCTTATTAAAAAAGTGTACACTGGATATGATTTGGGATGAACTCAGAATACATAATTTCTAACATCTTTGCATTGATAAAATCTGATTCATTAATATACAATTATTAGCAGATGCCATGCGCCATTATTATTTAGAAATATGACCAATAATTTTTGATCAATAATTTCATATTTAGATTGATTTCCCCCTCTCTAAACTGTTTCTGTATTTGCACCATGTTGAATCGCAAAGCATCATATTCAGTCACAACGAATTGCATTGTGTTGAGTCAAATCATGTTGAATTGCAATAGGGGTGAATCATATCGTATCACATGTATCTTTAATGCATCAGATTGTTGCAGTGCATCGAAATGTGTATGGCATTGAAATCAGTGATGGAGATGCGTGTAATATACACTTTCTGATGTCACAAACCCCCTTAGTCCTGATTCGTTCTGGAGGCAGTTGCAGAACAAAGTCATTAAGGGGCATGAATCTGAACACAGTGCCTCGACCTCTTGTATGGAAGGCCGTAAAGCACCATGTGTACCAAAGGCTGCCCTATCAGCTGCCTGAAGACAAAGACAGGGCCGATTGTGCCGGAAACAATATGCTGCTTGTTTTTTATGTGGCTGACTACCACAGAGTGAGACTCTTGTGTTATTATGGAATAACAACAGGGTGGTAAGACATTTAAAGGCCCCTTTTATTTTGAGCCGAGTGGGCGGGGCGTTTGAAACAGGATTGTTAACATTCATCCATAGGGAAATGCAAGAGGTTGTCATGGTGACCCACCTGACTCTGTGGCTTATATCAGCACTGAGTCTTGTGAGCTGGATCACTATTCTCGTTGATATTGTTTCACCAGCATTTAGAGAAATTGAATTTCCGATTTATGTGATGGCACGAAGAAATTAAAGCTCATGTCTTATTCCTCCTCTTTTTATACATTCCGTAATCTACATTCTGATTCTGCTTCTGCAAAGGGGCCGGTGTGCGGCTCCGCAGGATAGAACACCGTGTCTGTGATCAGAAGGTCACTGGTTCAAATCCCCTGGTCAGCAGAGTAATGTCACCAATGGGTCCTTCAGTAAAACCTTTAACGGCAATCGACTGTCTGACCCTGCTTCCTCAACTGTACATTGCTTTGAATAACAGAGTTTGTGAAATAAATAAATGTAAAGACTTGCAGGACAGTAGTACACACAGTAGAATTGTCTATCAGTATGATTTTTGCCACTTGATGTATGTTTTAATGGAAGGAAGTTGTTTAAAATATATGTTAACTTATTTATATATACAAAACATATTATGTAATTTAGATTATGAACAATATGAAAACATGCTATTTAAAGCTTGGGATGTTGGGTAGGTATTTTAGGTAATTGTCATATTCTGTCATTTGAGTTTAAATTAATGAAACTGATTTTCACGGTGTAAGTTTATGCATACTTTCAGATCTGGTGATTTTGTGACTTCTAGTGAAGTCGGTGGTTTGTTTCACTTTTGCCCAAGTCGGGTGTGAAAACGGGAAGATAATGTAATAACAAAACATTTTTTTCTGTTTCGTTATAAGTAAGACCGAAAG